TCTGAGCTGTGCTATGTTAATCTCTTGTCACATTTCAAAACAAAAATGAGGTCCACTTCTGTTTTGCCTAAAGCAGAAAAACATGTGCTGGAAAAGAAATAATGCCGGGACTTTATTTGGAAAAACAAACTGGGAGATACACACGATCTCCTTTATCAGGATCATGCGAGGAATCCAACTAACTGAAAAGGCAAAGTCAAAACTCAGATGAGAAAAGTGCATTTTTCTGATAGCTGGAAATAAATGCTTCTTTTGGAAGAGTCCATCCCAAGGGCGGTTTTCTGGCACCAGAGCACTTGGCATGAGTGTGAAAATCGTGGCCAAGTTGAAAAACCACAGCCCGGGCTGGAGCTGCCTGTAAAAAGCCAGCATTGCCTCTGCAACAAGTCACAAACTGCCCAGGCGGAGGCGAGGGGTGGGGGGCAGAGAGAGGTCTACTGACAACACCCCCAGCCCTGATACCGGCTGCCCTGGTGTCCACCCACACAGCACCTCACACCTGTCTCACTCACAAGCCACAACGATGGGAGGCCGCTCGGACAGTGTCCCCAGATGTGTAAGAAGGGGACACTGGCTGCCACGTGCTGGTGGAGGGTCCTATGAACTGTGGTGAAGCCCCATACTTGACAGACCATCTCCCAGGCTCCAGGGCAGCAACCAGATTTTGTTCTCAGTGAGTGGCCCCCAAACAGAACGAACCCTCAGGCAGGTAAACGAGGAAGCTAGGAGGGTAAATTTTGAACCTGAGCAAAGGACAGAAGTTTCTTCTTTTCTTTTTAATGGGAAAAAAAAAATTATACGGGGTAAAAGGGAAGCCAGGGGCATTCATAGGTGCATGCTTCCCTGGAGAGGAACAAGCACAAAATTACCATCAGAATCCAGCTCAGTAAACAAGTAAGGGCCTGCTCCATGCCAGGTGAACATGACATGATGCTTACCTGCATGGCGAGCACAGGAGAGGGGGGAAACAGGCATGCACCAAATCTCCTGGGTACATACTAAAACGGAAGGGCATGGAGGTCCTGGCACCCAGCAAGGTAATTCTGTTACTGAGCCCAAGTCTAACTTAGGGCAAATCATTCAATGTCAATTCTTCATCTGTAAAATGGGGCAATTCTTGCCTTTTGGATCCTATAGAGTTTAGAGATGTAACAACCACAACTACTAAACATAATAACAAGGCAGGAAGAGTAGCCTTTTCTACTAGACCCTGTTGCCCCTAAAAGCGCCTGTGAGTGGGGCTCAAAGACGAGGCCCCCTGTGGACGGCAGCCAACACCTGTGGCAAGTTCCTGATGCAGATGGCTTTCCAGCCAGACCTCGGAGCAGCAGCGCCCTGCGCTCAGCCTCAGCCCCGCTCCCCACTGGGCACCTTGTCACATGCCCAGGAGCTGCCTTGGCATGAGCAACCGTCTCCAACCCATTCAAACCTGCCTGACACCGAGGGTGGAGGTGCTTAGTCCTAGTAATCTCAATCAGTCTCGGAGCTGAGAGCCAGAATGGAACTTCCAGAACGCAGCGTTCAATCCTCTCATTTGCATGAGGGTAAAGGAGACTCAGGCAGCGCATGTGACTTGCTCAAGGTCACTCACTGAGGTGCTGGGACAGCTGGCGCTGAAATCTTGTTTTCTGGACTCTTCTGGTCCTGTGCAGTTGCTTTTCTTTCCTCGGGAGGTTTTGCCAACACAGACTCTGTTGCCTTTTATATCCCTAGTCTTTCTGCCCCCAAATACCTAATTCAGTGTGACTTCCAACAAAGAGTATTTAGGGTGCAATGAAAAGGAAAAGTTCCTCCTGACAACCTTTTCCCAAGCTCTCTGTTCTTTGGGGTCTTTTATTCTTTGGGAAGCTGTTTACTAAATGCCTGTTATGCATGGGACCCTAATCACAGCATGAGTTCACAGAGACGAACAAGAGATGTCCCTGTCCCCCAGGAGCTCTTGGTTTAGTTATCACTAGAAGGCTCTCTTCATGACACCTTTTGGAACCTCTGCTCTGGGAAGAGAAAGTCCTTCTGACCCAGTTCCCTTTAGTCATGTGGGCAAGGAGAAATCGTCTCATCGCTACGCCTCTTTACTCACTGAGTTTTTCCATTCGTGCCTGGCTGGCAGCTTCTGCCACGCTGGCTGTGGGTCCAGACGATGTTGTGATCAGAGAAAAGGCTGGCGGCCTCACTCCAGAAGGCTTGCCACCCGGTAGCTGTACCTCTTCCTGACCCGAGGGTTTCGAAGGGTCCCCATGATTGCTTCATCTATGCTTCCGACTGTCCCTAAGGAATTTGGATTTGCCCTCAGCTGAGCAACGGTCTTACTTTTACTCCGGTTTGCCCCATGGAGTGACAGCTTTGATGTCCTCCGGCCTCCCTCTCCCTCTGCCATCTTGGTGTGAGTTGCTTCTGAGTCCAGGGCTCTGAGGTCTGGGAAATTAAAATATATCTCAGTGAAGACTCTGACTGGCTTGTGCAAGTGAGGAAACTGGTGTCTGTTGGAAGGTTGGACAGGAGATGGTGAAATCCCTTCAAGCCCTAACATTTCCCAAAAGGTATATCCAAAGGTTAACGGTCGGAAAAATTAGCAGGGTTCCACTGCGTGTCCAGACCTCGGATCAATTCCTCATAGTATTTTAAATGAACACGGGCACCCAAGTTTTTCTTTAGACTCTCCTTACTCTCAGATGAAGTCCCCTAGTTAGAGAACAAGGGGTAGGGAACCAGAATACACACGTACACTCTTGGGAAATGGTGCCACTGTCTATGGAAGGCTTCCTGGAAGCGGAGTTCCGTTCCCCTCTGCTCCAGTTAACATCATTCCTGGTGCCAAAATACTGATGAATGGACCCCAGATGGCAAAGCGTGGTCCCCAACTCAGACAGAGCCCACAGGGCACAATGGTTTTACCCTAACGAGCCATGACATGCCAATTATTCGCTTTTCTGGAGAAACCTCAGCCTGAAAATCCATTTAATTACCACGGGAGATAATCTTTTAAACACAGCTTTACATTCTTTAAAGATTTTTCCCTGTGGGAGTAAGAAAGTTTATCTGAACATGGGATTGGATTGTTTATTTCCATTTCCAGAGGAAGGACAATCACCTGGTAGTTACCAAGAAGCCTGAGCCCTGGAGGATTTATTTTTAAGTCTCTTCCTCCTCACTGATCGTTTGTCATTAGTTTGTAGTGTTGTCACACTCTCTCAGGGTACACTGTGCACTTAGCTCTGTGATCCCCTAATTACTTGGAATTTTTCAAGCATCCCTATCAGATGGGGTTTTACACTTGCTCTGGATGTGGCTATCAAGAATCAATGTCCTCAAAGGTTTCCCATCAGGAAGATCATATCTATAAATCCACGAGCCCTGACAAGAGTCAATGTCCTCAACGGTTTCCCATCAGGAAGATCATATCTATAAATCCACGAGCCCTGAAGACTTCCCTGGAGCTGTGGTCAGTAAGACACCACTTTTTCCAGCCTGGAGCATCCCAGAGGATGCAAACTTGGGCAAGCAGGGGCCCTATGGTTGTGTTCAACCTGGTGGCCCCAAGACCCTGAGTAATTCCTGCTCGTAATAGGTGCTCCATAAACAGAGGCTAAATTGCTGAATATCAACAGGTCCTCACATGGAAAGGATGTGTACTGTGCCAAAATATGAGCAATGAAAACGGAGCTTGGTGGGCCCTATTCCGTGGCATGGGGCTGCTCTCGTCCTTCTATCCCCATCTCCCTTCAAGGACAAATGGCAGGAGGCTGAGATTTCTGGGCCTCGAAGAATATACCTCTGGGGATTAAGAGGAGAAAAGGAGTGATTGTATTGGACACAGAATTAGAAAGTGAGGAAAACAGTTTTGTGGGAAATGGACTCACTTTAGGGCCTGAATCTCCCCTTTCAGGTCCAGATGGGGAGAAGACCTGGTCCAAGAAGTACCCATCATGTGGGGGCGTGCTGCAGTCCCCAATAGACCTGCACAGTGACATCCTCCAGTACGACGCCAGCCTTGTGCCCCTTGGGTTCCAAGGCTACAATGTTTCTGCCAATGAGCAGTTTCTCCTGACCAACGATGGCCATTCAGGTGAGAGAGACCTCTGAGGACTGCAAGGGGATGTCTGAGCTCCCCTCAGCTCCTTGGCCTGCTCTCTTGCCCCTGGCAGGGAGGGGGCTGCACTGAAATACAGCCCCCAGGAGACGGGGCGGTGGGAGGGGGGAGGGATGAGAGATGCCTGGACCACTCACTGGGGGGGATGCTGGAGGCAGTTCTTCCAGGGCAGCGCCTCGCATAAGAAGCACATTTCTTGGGAAGGGGCGGGGGGGGGGGGGGGGGGGGGGG